CTCAACATTACTGAAACTTACTATACTATATTTCAGCCTCCAAAATGACCTTGGAACTACCATGTATATTTCAAAGCTCAGTTGACAATAGAATGTTTACTAAACTACCTAGCAGTCATGTTTGAGAAAGAAGTGTTTTCAAATAAATATATCTTGAAATGTTGTGATTATCAGCCAAATCATGGTCCTACAAGGACTTCATAGGCACACCAAACAGAAGACTCGAAATGCTGAGGTAGAAAAGTCCATGACTCTGAAGGCTGAAGAAGCTGTGGAATAACTATTTAAACTGCACTATAATAGTCTCCTCAGGGACCGTTCATAATTAATAATGGCGGGGTGGGGGTGGGGGTGGTGGTGGTTGTTCACCCATTTTGTTCTGAAGAGGTAGGGGTCACCAATTTGTACACATGTACTTGGGGGTGGGGGTGTGGGGGTGTGTGTGTACCGATTTTGTACACAAAAATAAGAAAAAAAATATGATTATAAATTACGGAAAGGTGGGGGGGTCCATTGATTTTGTACATGACATGCAAGTGGGGTCACATGTTTTGTACATAAATTTTAGGGGGGGGTCATTCACATTGTACATGCCTTTCCATGAAAATCATCATCCACCCCCCCTAGCCAGAAATTATGAACGGTCCCTTACAGCGTTGGTCTAGGAGGGAGAGGAGAGTCTACCAACATGAACATGCATCCCTCCCAGGTGTACAACTACCTGTATGATCCCACTATTTATACCACATCATATATCATGGCCGACATACCACTAAGTTACTTCTCAAGCAGGTATGGATGTCAAAATGTTTTATTGACCTCTAGCTTATCTTCTAGAGCAAGTCTGTGTGTGGAGTTGTTTATGTTTGTTTTATGATGATATTGTCATAGTTATAAAAACAGGTTGATAGAAAGGAGAAATACTTTCTGATGAAATATATCTTAAATGCAAATCTGGTAATAACTATTCCGAAAGGAAAATATCTAATTCTAAGATTTCTAATCCTCATATTTTTTAAATAAAGTAAATTACAAAATAATTGTGTAAAAGAGAAATCATCGGAAAATAAACTCAGAATACACATTATGTTCCTCGATTTATCTCCTCATTGGGTGTGATATTAAATTATTGGTGGTCTGTTAACTTGCACTTAATACTATCACTGGCGTCTAAACTAAGCAGAATATAATTGTCTTCACGGCCAGTTTTGCACCCAGGCCTGGAGGTCACAGTGACATACTGAGGTTGGACCTGCAGGACTTATTTAATGTCTGGATCGCAGAATGTAACACTAAATAATGACATGGATGAGACGATCTTGGCAACTTGCCAACACATGTAGGAAGTTGGTGTTTCGAAAACTTTGGAGCATCTCATTGTCATGCTATCTTTGAAATTATGAATAATCAAGAATTAGTGAGAGCTGCAAAAAAGGAATTGATAAAAGTTATGCAGTTGAAACAGAGAAACAAGATATCCTGTGTTTGGGTCAAGATGGGATGAGGAGACAAGAGATCAGGGGAGCCAGGGGACCAGGCCTCGTGTGTTTCTCAGTCACAAACAGATGCATCTGTATGGCTGACAATGTACAAGATACAATTATGTAGACAGAGTGAATGAAGATGTTATTTGAACTAATCGCACATACATTTGCATCAATATTGGTTTGATATACTCATTTGTACAATGGACTCGACCTTTTTTGTACAGCCATTCTGTCTGCTTCACAACTAGAGTGAATGAGTGTGGTTTTAGCAATATTCCAACAATATCACAGTGGTGGACACCAGAAATGGCTTCACACATTATACCCTTTTGGGGAATCAAACCCAGTCCTTTGGTGTGACGAGCCAACACTTAAACCACTGGGCTACCCCACCACCTTGCTGCCTAACTAGAATGTCTCCATACCTATGAAGGTCAATATTCGGTCAAGGTCATACTTTCAAATATGTTAATTCAGATTATTGCATAAAATTAATGATACTGTCCAGATTATCAGGGGTTCACTGTGTACAACAGGACATTTAGATGCATATCAGAGCTGTTTAATAACTCTATATATAACATACGTAAGTATAGGACAAATATTACCGGCAATGTGATTTATTCGTTTTGGATAAAACCCGTCTCATGTGTCCTTATATGAGCATTTAATATTATTTTAGAGGAAATGAAAACAATTACAAATGTTAAGCAAACATCCCAGCCATATTGCCTGCCAACACAATATCTCCAGCACACAAAAACTGAATCATCAGTGCCAGACATAAGGGAGGTAACTCTGTTAACCCCCAATCTGAATACATGGGGGAATATGTTATCCCGCTAATCAATACTTGTGATCACAAACTGAGAGAGTTGCAGACAGTTTATATCTTCCTTCCTTTGTCTCAACTGCTGGTCACAGATTGTTACCCTGTCCTTACTGCTGTTCACAGATTGTTACCCTGTCCTTACTGCTGTTCACAGATTGTTACCCTATCCTAACTGGTCACAGATTGTTACCCTATCCTAACTGGTCACAGATTGTTACCCTATCCTAACTGGTCACAGATTGTTACCCTATCCTAACTGGTCACTGATTGTTACCCTATCCTAACTGGTCACAGATTGTTACCCTATCCTAACTGGTCACAGATTGTTACCCTATCCCAACTGGTCACTGATTGTTACCCAATCTTAAGCGGTCACAGATTGTTGCCCTATCCTAACTGGTCACAGATTGTTACCCAATCTTAAGCGGTCACAGATTGTTACTCTTAACTGACTGTTCGCCCTGTTCTATTTACGCCCCACTCAGCAATATTCTAGCAGTATGATGGCAGTTGGGCAATATTTGTGTCTGGACCAGACAATCCAGTGACTTACATCACAAACATTGATCTACACAACCGAGTCCTGATAACACACATCAACCAAGTCAGCAAGCCTGACCAGCCTGACCCTCTTATGCCGCTTGTGACAAGCATGGCTGATGACCAGTGCTACCCCAATTTTCACCAGGTACTTTCAGTTCTCATGTCAAACTGACATGTTTTTTTTCCATCCTTTGTGTCAGTTTTGTTGGGATTGTAATATATATCAGGGATTTATCAGGGATACCATACTTAGTGCCCATGGCAGGTAAACTGGGAGAAACATCAGGATATCGTTCAGACTTGAACAGGGTGTTATACTCAGTTCTCATGTTTGGAAATTCTGAGATTTGGGATAATTGTTAATTCAAACTGGGAATGTTACTTACTACTGACTTCCTGCCAAATATAAGCTTCTTAGCAGGTCTAGATAAGCACTGTGTATATAAAATCTTGCCTGGCTGTTGGACCTGCCACAGAAAAATCTACTTCAGATGAGAACTACGTCATACATCAATTAATCTGTCAGTGAAATGACCATTAGTGAATGTTTTTTAATGTTCCCAGGAGCAACATTCTATCTCTCGTACAGCAACTACCTAAGTCTATCTTGCTAGATATATGACCATTACATACATACTGTTGAACCTTGTTAAACCAGAAATATTGTGGAACCTTGTTAAACCAAAATTAAAGTGGAACCTTGGTAAACCAGACATGTCCCATAATGGGAATTTACTGATACGTCTCAAACTGTCAGGTCAAAGGGTGAACATAATCCTGATGAATTCTACGGTACCAATTCTACCCACCTATGACCAATCTCAGCTGCACATAAAACCACTTGGTACATGAACCTTTGCCCTTGAGGAAAAACAAAATAGTTTCAGTATGTAAAGTTTACAAAAATTTGTGAAAAGTTACAATGTTTAAGGTGTTTTACATATATTACAGAACTATTAGTTCTGTAAACACATGTCTGTAGAACACATTCCACACGTCTCTCGTAACACCTTAGTTGTAACAATGGGAAGCTGTTTCTGTCTCTTCCCTTGAAACTTTCTTTCATGACAAAGACATATGTTAAGTTCCTAAATGTTACCAAGCTATTCCCTAAAGCAGCTACGTGAAAGGTTCATGTGTAATGGGTTTAGGTTTGACGGGAGCTGGAACAAGGGAAGTGCCTTGCCCTGGCTCCTTACTGGCTCTGTCCGTGTGTGAGCAGAGACTTAAAAATGTCCCCTCCCTCATTAACACCTCACCTCATTTAAAGCAGAAAAATACACTGACAGAGCTAGTCTGTCTCACAGTCCCTGAACCACATCATTTTTCCTCTTGCCATACTCAACCCTCCCTGCAATGCTAAAGCCCTAGTCTGCCATACAGACCCTGAAGCAAATATATCCAAGAAAGCCCACGCAAGTCTAGAAAATGTGGCAAGTCTAGATTTCCTCAGCTTCAGGTTGAAAATGAAAAAAGTCTCAGGGCTCCTTTTCATTATATTTTTTTTTTTACTATGAATTTTTTTTCAGTAAAATATGTTCATTTCAGAGACTAGTTGTTAGTCTACTAAAGCCCTAAATGAAGCAAGTCGAGATTTCCTAATCTCCCAACTCACGGGGGCTCCTTTTCAATTTAAATGGGTTTATTTGTTACTATCAATATTATATATATTCAGGGGCTAAGCGTTTTCTGGAGCCAACAGATTAAAGATTTAAGATCCTAGATTAAATGAAACTATAGGACAGCTTGTATCCTATTAATTCACTCACATGTTTTAGCATTGACCACTCTCCTCTACCATCACACAGGTGTCACACAGGTTAAATATGATAATGTTCCCCGCAGATCTGATTTTCGTGGATATTGATTCTGGGTATTATATTAAATTTTGTACATGCTGACAACACATGCTGTAAAAGCAACATGATAATCATATTTGTATATGATATTAAAATGAGTAACTCATCCTAAGATGGACTTGACATCTTTCCAAACATTCCTTATCCTTCAAACCATAATATAAAGCAATTCAAAACTAGAATTCTCTCCCACTATTGTTGTACTTCTTGGAAGCTTCGAGTGAAAGGACATTTTCATTCCCATTTTGCAGCAGGCTGATGTGTTTCTTTCTTTTTCAGCCCAAGACTCACTAAAACAACACCTGACATCTTTCCAATAAACCGTGAAGATCTGGGTTAGAACTGATCTTCAGTCACCTATGCTTGTGGTAAGAGCCGACTAACGGGATCGGGTGGTCAGGCTTGCTGACTTGGTTGACACATGTTATCGTATCCCAATAGCGTAGATTGATGCTCATGTTGTTCATCACTGGATTGTCTGGTCCAGAATCAATTATTTACAGACCACTACCATATAGCTGGAATATTGCTGAGTGCAGCGTAAAACTAAACACACTCACTCTTTCAAATATGTTTACTGTGCACATTATTAAACTGTAATTCAAAATAATTATCATTAATTATATTTATTCATAAATTACGGGTGACCTTTATCTTTAAGTTCAGATTTATGAAGGTGACAGATGTTAAAACCCAGAACTACACTCACTTTTCACACTTCATCTTTGTGACATATAATTCTTATTTCTAATTTTTTAGGCGTTCCTTGATGGATGCAGTCTATCGACAACAGCTGAATGACCCCAGTTGTTTACTGACTTGTCTTCACCATGAACACATCAACAAATCTTCTCCATATTGCTGGAAAAACATTGGTAATTATATAGGAATCCTATTCATAGACAACATGTCATTATAGACCAATTAGTTAAACCTCCTGTAAAACTATAATTATTTCCGCCATTTGCTAACAATAGTGAAATATACACCTCATGTCAATTACACAGTCATTAGCACATACTTGGTTTGTGTTGCTGACGATTCCTCTCACAACTTGAATTCCATGTCAGACCACAATAAATCTGTTTCATGCGCAGTGTGGATAGACCTGATGACTAAACAGTTGACAAAGACATTCAATTAATACTCCTAGTTGACAACTTGCTAGTGCAATGGCCAATAACTTTCACGTGACCATGGTACTAGCAGTATATATTCAAATTTTCTAGCCAAAATTCAAACAAAAGTAATATTTTTCCATATAATTCTAGGAATACCACCTCTATGACATCATTGCCATAATTCTATATCAGAAAATATAAAAATCGAATAGATTTTGAACAGAAGTAGGCTTCACATTCACATGACTCTAATTAGTTGTGTGGATATTAGTTTTCCTCCACCATTGCAGGAAAACATCACTGTTTGGTTGTGTTTATCTCATGGAGACATTATGTCCCTCGAGCATGCCAGGATCCTGTGACTTTGGTTCAAATCCACCTCATGGTCATCTTTGGTTGGTCAGAACCATGTCAAACCAAGTGGAAAATGTCAAAAGAAGTTCCATGAACACTCTATAGAGGGATGGGCCAAACTGACAGATTTGCCTCAATGCCAAGTGTGGATCAGTACTAAATGATTACATCGCTGATCTACAAATGATATTGTGGCATGTTTTCCAGCTGATAAGATATAAAACTCATTAATTCCAAGTGATGAAGAGCCATGTTGAGCTTCCCCCTGCAGTCTCCGGTCAGAATGTTCCCAGATTGGGGTGCACCAAGCTACCACCTCCTGTTCACAGCACACATGATGTCATTTACTTAATCAGCGAAGTCACATCTCCCAGGGTGGCCGCAGGATTGGCAGAGGCACCACAGAGGGGGAAGGGTTGTTGGCTGGGGGGTGGATGTCTATCTCATGTCACTGAAGGAGAGGGTTGGATTGTGGAGTTGTTGATTGGGGGTGGGGTGGATGTCTATCTCATGTCACTGTGGGGGGGTGGGGTGTGAAGGGGGGGTCTATCTCATGTCACTGAAGTGTGTTGTTGTGTGTGTGTGTGGGGGTGGATGTCTCTCTCATGTCACTGAAAAGGGAAGGGTTGTTGATTGGGGGTGGGGGTGGATGTCTATCTCATGTCACTGAAGGAGAAGGGTTGGGATTGGGGGTGGATGTCTATCTCATGTCACTGAAGGAGAGAGGGGGATTGGGGGGGTGTTGGCTGGGGGTGGATGTCTCTCTCATGTCACAGAGGAGGAAGGGTTGTTGGCTGGGGTGGATGTCTATCTCATGTCACAGAGGGAAAAGGGTTGTTAGCTGGGGGTGAATGTCTATCTCATGCCACAGAGAGGGGAATGGTTGTTGATTGGGGGTGAATGTCTATGTCATGTCACAGAGGGAAAGGGTTGTTCGCTGGGGGGTGGATGTCTATCTCATGTCACTGAGGGAAAGGGTTGTTGACAGGGGGGCGAATGTCTATCTCATGTCACTGAATGGGAAGGGTTGTTGACTAGGAGTGAATGTCTATCTCATGTCACTGAGGGGAAGGGTTGTTGACAGGGGGGTGAATGTCAATCTCATGTCACAGAGGGGAAGGGTTGTTGATTGGGGGTGAATGTCTATCTCATGTCACTGAGGGAGAAGGGGTGTTGGCTGGGTGGTGGATGTCTATCTCATGTCACTGAGGGGAAGGGTTGTTGACAGGGGGTGGATGTCAATCTCATGTCACTGGGGGGAAGGTCTATCTCATGTGGGGCTGGGTGGTGGATGTCTATCTCATGTCACTGAGGGGAAGGGTATTGGCTGGGGGGTGGATGTCTATCTCATGTCACTGAGGGGAAGGGGTGTTGGCTGGGGGTGGATGTCTATCTCATGTCACTGAGGTGGAAGGGTGTTGGCTGGGGGGTGGATGTCTATCTCATGTCACAGAGGGGGAAAGGGGTTGGCTTGGGGGTGGGTCTATCTCATGTCACTGAGGGGAAGGGTGTTGTCTGGGGGTGAATGTCTGTCTTATGTCACTGAGGTGGAAGGGATGCTGACTAGGGGTGAATGTCTATCTCATGTCACAGAGGGGGAAAGGGTGTTGACTAGGGGTGAATGTCTATCTCATGTCACAGTGGGGGAAGGGGTGTTGACTGGAACTGGACTGGGCGGTAGGCATCAATCTCTTGCTACAGACACATAGTTGAAATTAACACCAGGGAGTTCTTTTAAGCTTATGACAAAAAGGGCAAATTCCAAACTTTACTGCATGGTAGTTCAACTAACACAGTTACAGTGTGCATACAGTGGCATGGACCACTATCTACTCTTCACTACTCCGCCATTATCCCAGACACTTCATACCCTCAAAGTTTCAAACCAGCATTTGATGTTTCAGGCACAAAAACAGCAGAAGCATAATGGACCATAGGATATCACTGATCTGACTCTAGATGAGAACATGCTGACACCATGGACTACAATTACATGCTGACCTCAAGCATTTGAGGCAAAATCCCATTTTCACATCATCCAATGTTGCAAAAGTGTACATCAAAGGACTTGTGAGTATCCAACATGTCTGACATTCTAACAAGAACATATATGCTCAACTCCTGAAATATGCAGGACTGCTCATGTACATGAAGTAAATTATGGTATGAACAAATCTCAACTGAATTTTCCACATTAATCATTGCTTGTGTCAACAAAATTATGTAACAGCCATTATTGTAAGACATTCAAATATTGACCATAAACAGACTTCCTAATCTTCAAGTATATTAAGTCAGTCATACCACTGTGAACGCAAACATTTTGCTACTCGATTGAACATTTCACAAGCACTTTAGTTATAAGGTAGAGATTATGCTGTACACTGAACTGGTAACACAACCATTCCAGGATATCCTACTTCTTCAATGCAGTGTTTGCACACATCTCCATGCTGTGATAATTTGGTTGTATTATCAACACATGGATGGGCAAAAAGATTTAAGTACTGAAAACATTCCATAATATTTAGTATATTATGGTAACATCATGCTAATATCTGTCCTACTTACTGAATATTGTTAGTTCATCTGAACAAGGTAAGTTTTAGGTTTTGTTTCATTTGAAAGTGAATAAAGTTCTCAAGGTAAGAAATGTGTTTGTTTTGGTTCTTAGTTTGTCAGATGTGGACATGATGTTGTTGATGAAACAAACACCAAGGAATGACTCCAGTTCAGTCTGGATGTTACACAGTCTTTTACCACTATGATCAAAATATCAATAAAACAAAAAGAAATGCAATATCGCTAGTAAATTCAATACACCAGGCTTTGCTACATCCTGAATTGACTGTATATTTTCACATATGTAAGACAGACCTACTTGGTGGAACTAAATAGTGGGTGGATTTTCTCAGTTGTGGCAGATTTAGAAATCTATTATTAGATGATGACATCATTCCCACTGTGACATCATCAGGCCAAAGTTGAAATGTGTGAAATGTTCCATAAATTTGACTTGAACAGAATGCAGCAGAGTGGCAGAAAAATGTTGACAAATGATATTGCTGGTTTATGCATATCTTTACAGTAAGCACACTGGTCATTCATTGTCACAGTTTTAACAGTAGTTAGGGCCTTACCTGATAGAACATCTCTGAGTTTCTGTGCAGACATTAACTTCCACCACTCGTATTTGGGGTTCTAATCACCAATCAATGCCTCTTTCATGTTAATGGTCAGAGTTTGGATGAACAGAAAAAATAACACAAATATTTTCTGCTTTTTGGGTGTTCCTCATTCAAAAAACTGTTTGCCACGACTGAGCTCAGAGCAGTGAGGGATGTCCAAGTTGATGATGTGCTGTGCTTTTTTTGGCACAGAGATGAGACCAGTGTCTGTCTAAACAGGCAAATATTTATCTATACAGACAGACAGGGGTTAACAAAAAGCTGACAGTTGAATTTAAAGTCTGAAAGACTTAACTGACAAATTTACAGACCTTCAACTCACATCACTGAGAGAATTTTACAACCTCATTGATTAGATGAAACAGAAAAATGTCTGGTATTTAGACTAGAATAAAGATAAGCTTTGGACAAGTTTAAAATTGAAATGAGTATCTTACCACAAAATTCATCAGTACATTTTTGGTCACAGAATCCTTGAAAATTATATTATCAAATTAGTTGATTATAATAATATAATCAATATTGAGCACTGGGCTGCATCTTGTATATGGTGTGGGGTTCACTTTGCCTCGTTCCAAGGTTCTACTGTGGGCTGAGCCCATGGATGTATAGTAATTATTTATATTCCTCGGAAGGCAAGTCTAGATAAGTGGACAGTACAGTCTGTTGTTTATTATTTTTTTTAGCAATTATCATTTAAACTATTAATTTTTACCTTAGA